GGTTTGGTCCACCATCACGTAATTGTCTTGGGTAGAGTTGAGCGGACACCTGGATGTTCGGGATCAGGATCGAACTTGACCCCGAACCCAAACTTTTGGGCACAAAAATGGCTCTGAAAAAGTCCTGGAAAGGGCTAGAGGGCTGCAAAAGGAAGTAAAATGGGGGTAAGAGTAGGACAAGTGCCCTGCAAACAAATGTGGATAGGGAAATCACTTAAAATAACATAAAATACATAAAATAAGCAGCCGCTTAGTAGATAACTCCCTAATTCCCACAGTGTTAGGGAGCTATCAACCAAAAGGCTGAATGACCTAAATTGGTCTTTCAGGCAAATTTACTAATACTAAGTAAAAATTACTTAGTATTAGTAAATTCAGCCCCTACTCGCTATACCGTGAGTAGGGGCGTGTCTAGTAAACAGTGAACAGCCAGTGGCTGCTCACTGTAAAAAAACCCAAAAAACACCTATTGCCCCCACCCTTGTGCGACGGGTGGGGGCCCTAAATAAGAATGTGGAGATGGGACATACTGTCCTCCCCCCTGTCCCCCACCCCTGAGCGGCGGGTGGGGGCCCTAAATGACAATAAGCCCTAAATGACTGAGCGGTGGGTGGGGGCCATAAATAAGAATTTGGGGGGGACCTAATGTCCTCCCCACTGGCCCCCACCCTTGTGTGGCGGGTGGGGGCCCTAAATAACAATAAGGGGGGGGACCTACTATTCTCCCCCCCAGCCCCAACACCTCTGCGCGATGGTTGGGGGCCATAAATAAAATTTTACCCCCCCAGGTGACTAGGGGTCCCCAAACCCCTAGTCACCCCCCTCCCCAAAAAGAAATTACCCCTCTCATCCTAAAAATAATGAGGGGGGACCCTTATCTAAATACATGTAAAAAAAAGAAATAGACTTCCCATTTGATGTCTTCTTTCTTCTAAACTCTTCTTTTTTCAGCCCCAAAAAAGGCCAAATAAAAATCCATAATAACCGACACACTTAAAAAAAAAAACCCATGGAAGGTTCCATGCAGACTGTGTTCTGCAGGTCAGGGGAAGACGTATAAAGCCTTGCCCCGCCCTGCAATTAGGCTCAGAGCAATCTGATTTGTGGGTTTAAGCCATCCAATCAGAGTGCTCTGACAGGTAAATGAAGAGACTGACAGGTAATTCTCTACATTTACCTGTCACAGCACTCTGATTGGTTGGCTTGAAATCCACCAATTGCTGCGCAGGGGTGGGGGCCAGGGGAAGGACAGTAGGTTCCCCCCCAAAATTCTTATTTATGGCCCTCACCCACCGCTCAGGGGTGGGTGGGGGCCAGGGGGGAGGACAGTAGGTCCCCCCCTTATTGTTATTTAGGGCCCCCATCCACCACTCAGAGGTGGGGGCTAGGGGGAGGACAATAGGTCCCCCCCTTATTGATATTTAGGGCCTCTACCCACCGCTCAGGTTAGTAGGCATGGCTGTGATGGCTTCTAAGGGCACACAAGTCAAACGCTTGTTGATTGGCTGCTCTGCAGCCTTTCAAAACGCGTCATTAAATCGCTAAACACCGAACTCCAACCTGAACATACAGTGATATGTCCGTGTTCGGGTCCGTGGTCCAAAAAACGTAATGTTCGGTGCCTAGGGAGTTATCAGCTATGCCTCACTGATGATGCCTAACAAGGCTGAAACAATCGTCTGGGGATGCTATGTCTCTCGTGCAGAGGGAACTTGCTGGCATTTCAGATCTGGACTGCCCGTATGGGTGGGACCAGTCTGATATGTTTCAGAGATGTTCTCTCTGTAATGGCACAAGATGAGCAAAAATCAGCTTGAGAACTGAGCGGGGACCGACCGAAGGGCAGGCTATTTCAGCTGCTGCCCGTTCTCAGTATTCTCTTGCGACCCATTTTTTACTTTCCATTCGGTACGTTCACTCAATTTTAGTCTTGGGTATTCAATTGACTACACAAAGCAGATGTTTTATAGATAGGAGATTCAGAGATGGGGTTTTAATATGAGAGGTATGATCTTGAGAACTCTCAAATATCTTGTAGATGCAAGGATCTAGCAATAGAATTTAGAGATTCTTCAGTACAAGCTCTAGATTGTAAGCTTTTTTGATCAGGGTCCTCAATCTCTAGTTCCTTGTTACATGTTAACATATGCAATAGTTTTATTTGTGGTTATGTCACCAAATTAAAACTGGAGTGCTGCAGTATAGGTTGGCATTAGAAATACTAATAATAGTTTAATAAGCCAAATTAGAGTTTGGTGAGAGGTAGAGTTTAGTACAGTTGATCCTACACTCCATGCAAAGCAATTTAAAGTGTACCTGTTGTGACACACACAACCAGTAGGGATACTTTAGTGTTAGGAATACATCTAAAGTATTCCTTTAACATATACTACTTAAGCATCTAGGGGGTTACATATCTGCATAGTTACATTGGCTGAAAAGAGACATGTGTCCTCAAGTGTTCCATTTCTTTTATTAATTTTGTAGCCCATCTCTGCACCCTTTAGAGTGCCATAATATCCATCTTTAGTACAGGTACAAAGTTGCACAGCATATTCAAGATGTGGTCTTTCCAGCGATTTATAAAGAGGCAAAATTATATTCTCATCCCGAAAATTAATATCCTTTTTCATGCATGAGAATACCTTACTGGTCTTAGCATCTGCTAAGTGACATTGCAGATTGTTGCATAGTTTGTTGTCTATAACAGCGGTTCCCAAACCGCCAGGAATCATAACTGCTGAGCATGGGCCGGTCGGTTGCGGCGGTCCTTTAAGACCGTGAAAGTGCCCCTGTACTGTCGGCTGGCTGGGAGGAAGTGACAGCCTGTTACTTCCTCCCAGCATAATGCAGAGAGACAGCGCGGGAGGGAGAGGAGGCAGCCACAGCGTGAGGGGAGAGGAGCAGTCCAGAGCTGTTCCAGACCTCTCACACACAGCGGCCAGCAGGACTCCAAGCCACCCTACTGGACATACAAGGTAAGTTAACAGGAGGGTGGCTGGAGATACAAAAAATAAATTTCACCTGTGTGAGTGTGTGTATGTATGAGTGTGTGTTTGTGTGTATGAGTGTGTGTGTGTGTGTGTGTGTGTATATGAATGTGTGTGTAAGTGTGTGTGTGTTTATGAATGTGTGTATAAGTGTGTGTGTGTTAGTAGGAGTGAGTGTAGAAGGGTGCACTTATATATAAGAGCGCTTTGAACCTAAAAAGTTTGGAAACCACTGGTCTATAACAATTCCTAAGTTCTTCTCGTGTGTGGTTATCTCTAATTCACTTCCATTAAGGGTATACGTTGCTTGTGCATTCTTGACGCCGAAGTGCATAACTTTGCATTTTTCGCCATAAAATGTATCTGCCATTTGAGTGCTCAGTCCCCCGGTCTATCTAAATCCCTTTGCAGAAAAGTAATACCTTGCTCACATTGTATTACTTTACAGAGTTTTGTGTCATCTGAAACAACTTCCAATGCTTTTTTCAAGATCATTTATAAACATGTTAAATAGAAGGGGTCCCAGAACAGACCCCTGAGGGACACCACTTGCCACCTCTGTCCAGTTTTAAAATGTACCATTAATGATAACTCTCTGTACTCTATTTTTAAGCCAATGTTCTACCCAAAAACAAGAATTCTTATCTAGACCGATTTCCTTGAGTTTGAACACTAACCTATTGTGTGGAACTGTATCAAATGCCTTGGCAAAATCCAAACAGATCACATCCACTGCAACACCCTGATCTATACTTCTACTTACTTGTTCTTGGAATGTAATCAAGTTAGTTTGACATGACCAGTCCTTCATAAAACCATGCTAATTTCTCAGAGGAAAATGAAATGTTTTCGAAAGACCAGAAGTTATTAATTCTGGACAGACCAATAGCCGAGAATTTACACTAAAGAAAGATGGCCTGGCAAAGAAGCACATCACTAGAGTAGATACAGAATGTGTAGTTGTGTATATGGGTTGCACACATCACGAGTCATAAAGAGCAAAGGATTCTCAACTAATTGCTAAACATTACAACTATTTCATAACAATCAATCTTTGAAAATTTTTATATCAATCTAAACCACCAGAAAACCTAGGCAAAATCTATGATCTGCAATATAATATATACAGCACAAGGTAGCACTCCAGGGACTTTAACAAATAAAAATAAAAGTTAAGTTTAATTATCTTGTATGACTATGTGATAAGATCTGTGGAGAGTATACCAATCAAAAATAACTCTCCCCACTCCCCCCATTTTTCACTGTCACATGAGCAAGAATACAACAATAACAGTTCATGGTGGACTCATCTGCCAGGAGCTGAGGAATGCAGATAGTGCTGAAGAGATCATGTGATATCTTAGATTCTCTTCACCCCATACCATAATTTTGTAAAAATGTCACAGGATGGAATCTACAGGTAACAAATTTGCTTTATAAGTTACACTAAGTGTCACTTTTTAAATAGTTTTATTTTATGAGATATAAAACTAGCTAACAAAATGCTTAACATGTCCTGCAATCAGTATAAACACCAGGTATAATCTCAAGGCAAGGTTAGCCATTATCTTGAGATTTTAGTCCAGATTTTATCAAAAGACAAAGTCCATGTAAAGTGCAAACTGATTACATGCTCCATCGTGCTACCAAGCAAAACATAATTTCTTAAAACAAAACACACAATGTATAGCTTTTGATTAAGGTGCAGGGCAACTAATATCAGTTCCATCCAACATGGACAGTAGTGATATGCGGACAGTGTGATCACTGCCATCCAGGTTGGATGGAATTGATATTGATAATGCAAAAGTGTACCTAGTTAAAAAGCAGGTAGACTTTGGGTGCTAATTTAAAAATGCAAACAAAACACAAAAGGAGCTCTCTGCAGCAATATGCTAGTATTATTTCATTTATTAAGTACCAACAAATTCAGCAGCAATGTAGACTTGTGGTGATTCCTTTATTTAACGTCTGTAGTCACCAAGCCTCATTTCCCGCACAATATTTTACTTACAGGGCAATGGGTCTCTTTGTGCCAGGGATTACACCATCAAGAACTGCCAAACCTTCATCCAATAGAAATGACAACTTTACTTCCCGGGATTGTAATTTCTCCACAATCTTCACGGCTCCATAATTACCTGAGATCTAGAATAAATCCAGTACAAGGTCTACAAAATGACCTCTTATAAGCAGAAGACATTACTAAAACAGGTATTCCCCTCCCCTTACAGGTTTCAATGCATTCATACTCTACCTCTTCATCGTGGCCAAATCCAATGTAGAAGGAGCGACGTGGTTTGTAGCCCCTTTTCAGGAGTAATTCTAGTGCCTGTAGAATCCCCTAAAGTAAAGAGAAATGATGTATTACATTAGTTTATTTAAAAACAATATGCATTTAGTAAATAAAGTATTACAAGTCATTAATAAGAAAGTATGTATCATTATACACCAGTAATAAAATAATAATAAGCTGCAAATACATTAAAAAGTCTTTCTGAAACAGACGTTTTGTAAGATTAATAAGTCACAATAATAATAATAATAATAATAATAATAATGTCAGTGCATAGTGGATATACCCATAACAACCCTCTTTACTTTGTTTTCATTAATAACACACCAAAAGACCCACATATGACTATATAGATACCCATGTATCATTTGGGGACTATGTAACAGTTCAATATTGCTGCTTTAAAGCTCCTAGAGAACTTACAATACACAGGTGATATTGTGTGGTACCAATGTGAATAGAGTCATTGGAGTACATCCACCAATAACTGCTATTGCGATTCATGGGTCTGCAGGTTAAACGTACATCATCAATCTAGTTGAGGAAATAAGTATCAAGCATTTAAGTTACTGGATACTGTAACAGTCCCCAAATACCTCAGTCTTCTCAGCATTCTATATTTACTATAATACCATTCATTTTGTTTAGTGGATTGAGATAAAGTGCTATAAACCAGTGATGGACCTTTTTCAAACTTACAATCACACAGTTTTTGTCATCAATAGTTCCTCTTCCATAGATATATCCATTATGCTCCTCACCAGAGAATGGTGGCACCTCCCAGCCTTCGGGGGTTGCTGGCACCACATCAAAGTGAGCGAGAAGCATGTATGGCTGTAAATTGCTGTCTGAGCCTCGAACGGTAAAAAGGTGACTATAACCACCCACAACTTCATGTTGGATTAAACTGGAAGAGAAGACAAGAGGGAAGGCTGGGGAGAAAACATACAGTATTAAAATACAGTGTACCAAATCTAAAAGATAAACTAATGAGAAAAAGTAAATTAAACGACATATATACACCAATTCCCATCAGTTGTTGCCAAAGTACAAATTCCATGATCTTCCATCAACTAAACTTTTTAGCACAGACTGGTGGTAGTTCATGATGGGTATGTAGTTTGTCAACAGTTCCCTGTGCCTTTTTCAAGACACTGGATATATGTAGAGAGAGATCACACTCCTACACATTTGTTTTGCAAAATGTACCTTAATATAACTGGACCAATATATTACAAATGACATCATTTATAATCTGTTGTGGCCATAACATATATATGATAGCGAAAACATTAAACAAATAGACTAGACTGGAAAGTTTAAGGACAAAACCATATAGTGCAGGGCTAGGAGCAGGAAAATAAAGTAAGGTCCTAATTTGGATAATCCGGGTAGGATCAGCAAAATAAAAGTATTAAGTCTTTGGCTGGTTTAACAAATAGGCAAAGGTTTACCACATGGTCCAGATCAGAACCAGGCAGGCAAGAAGAAACCACGACTGGTTCAGGCAGACAAAGGTTAACCAAGGCAGGTACAGGCAGGCAGAGGTTAACCAAGGTAGGTTTGGGCAGGCATGGGTTAACCAAGGCAGGTACAGGCAAGCAGAGGTTAACCAAGGCCAGAACAGGCAGGCATGGGTTAACCAAGGCAGGTACAGGAAAGCAGAGGTTAACCAAGGCAGGTACAGGAAAGCAGAGGTTAACCAAGGTAGGTTTGGGCAGGCATGGGTTAACCAAGGCAGGTACAGGCAGGCATGGGTTAAGTGCAATCTGGCCAGATCTGAAAGATTTCCATGTATTTACTAGTTATGCTATTACTGCCTCAAATTCGAAAGTCACTTTGTATTCCCTACAATTCGAACATTACAAAATAACCCAGCTAATATTTCCTGTTAATATTGTAGCATTGTTTTAGCTATTAATTTGGTACGTTTTTGACTGATAAACATTGTTGCTCTTTGTGTTTTATAAAGTTTCATTCATATTTCCAGCTTTAGCATAAAGGTTCACACCTCCCACAAAAGATGATGGCTTGGCATGATAAATTGTTTTTGGCAACAGTTGGGTAAGGCCCAAAAAATATTATACCATGAAGCCACTGTAGCAAATGGGAATGAAAAAAAGAAGTAAAAAGAGAAATATTAGTACCTTTGCGAATATATTGTCCAAACTCTGCCAAGGCTGTGTTATTTTGTTCTGTTTCTGAGAATGATACAGTGGGGATACGGATTGCACCTGTCACACATTTAACAAAAAGAGGACATAAATATAGTTACAGCTGAAAAGTGACATGTGTTCATCAAGTTCTTCCTTTCTTACATTATTTTACAGTTTGAAAAATACATACTGAAACTCAGCTCCTTTATAGTTTTGCATAATCAACATGCAGGAATTAAAATATTTTACAATAAATTAATTGGAAAAATAGATTTTTTTTTCACTTTGGATGTATTGTCCTAAAATTAACAAATGTCTGCAAATTTACTGGTTTATTTAAGAATGCTGTCTGTTATTTTCCTTGAGAAACCCTCTAAGCATCATAACAAGTTTGCTGGAGCTTTCAGCTTTTCTGGCTGCTGAGACCAGCACATAGCTGACGCCAGGTATGAAGTTGTAGGGGGCCAGCCATTGCGCTCATTTGCCAAAGATGGTCTAAACACATTGCTGCAGCCACCTTAAAGCTTGGAAAGTGCCTGACCAAGCATGACTCCTGTGAGCTCCAGCATTTAGAGCGTTGCGTGTAACCATAGCTGGTAGGGCCGCCACCAGAAATTTTGGGGCCCCTAACTCAGCTCAGGGTCTGGGCCCCCCTGGGACCCACCTCCAAATACCACCCACTGGGTCCGCCTCCAAATACCACCCACAGGAGTACACACACAGACACAAACACACACTGATACAAAAGGACACAGATACATACTAACAGACACACATACTGAAACAGACATACACGCATACAGGCATACATACTGACACACACATACTGAGACATACACACAGGCATTCATAGTGACAGACAGACACATACTAACATACATACAGACACACATGCATGAGGACATAAAGACACATACATACATACAGACACCGACATACATACATACAGACATACTGACAGACCTACAGACACTGACATCCATACACACATACATTCATAATGGCATACAGACATACACAGACATACATTTATAATGGCATACAGACATACATACATACATACACTCAGACTGACATACATGCATATATACAGACATACGTTCATAATGATATGCAGACATACATTCATACTGACATACAGACATACATATATAATGACAGACATGCATCCATACACGCAGACACACAGACAGACACACAGAGACATACATACAGACATACAGAGACATACACACAGACAGACAGACATACATGCAGACATACATACATGCATACAGACATACAGACAGACATATATACATATATACATATATACATACACACATACACGCATGCATACAGACAGACATACATAGACATACATACAGACATACATACACACACACACACACACACACACACACACACACACACACACAGCTCATTTTCCAGCCACCCTACTGTCTCTTACGTTTTCTTTGCAGGAGGGTGGCTGGGGATGATGGGAGTCGGCGTGGCTCCCTCTTCACTGCCTGGCTCTCCCTCTTCACTGGCGCGCGCTCCTCCCGTGCGGAGTGAGCTGGGAGGAAGTGACCACTTTTTTTAAAGGGGCCCGGTCGCGCTATACTACGGCCACAGCGCTGACCGGGCCCCTGAGGATATAGGGCCCATCGGGTGGCCCTAAGTGTGTGGGCCACCCAGGCCCGTGACAACTGTTATGGTTGTCACCCCCTGATGGCGGCCCTGATAGCTGGTGAGGGGAGGACAACAGAAAGAGTTATGTCAAAAAAAAAAAAAATGCATACCACAACCTATGTCTGCAATGAAGTGTTATCTTCCTCTTTCCACCGGTACTAACCCGCTATAGGGCATCCTCAATGGGCTGGAGGTCAGCCTGCTGTAGTCAAAGTGACTGTGGCTGCTGCGGGTCAGAATTTGGAGGAGGCATGGCTGGTGATGGAGCAAGGATGATGATGTATCCAAGATGGCGCTGATTCCCATATTGACCTCAGACAACCTCCTACAGTTGAGACAGGTTATGTGAGCCACCCCTTTATAATCATTGCACACCTTTTAGTAAGTGCTTGGTTGTTTTGTTGCTTGTCTCAGCACTTCTAGTGCTTGCCTCCCTGTGTTTCATGGGATGGTTTCTGACTTTGCTTGCCTTGCCGATTCCACTGATTGCTGTCTCTCCTGATCTCTGGACCATCTGAATCTGATTCCTGCCTGACCCTTCTTCAGATACCTTTGCCTTTAATTTTCTTTTACTCTATGCCATCACAACCCAACAGAATCCAGTTCTAAACCTCAGGATCTTTGTGGACAATGCTTGTGAGGGATAGAATTTTAGAACATGACCCCAGCAGGTTTACACTGCACTCTATCTGCAATGGAGAAGATCACGCCTGTTGCCAGTGAAACACTGCACATACATACGTCTACCAGTAATGGGGGTTTGCGTAACCCTTAAATTGTTTAGTGCAAGGGTAGTCAACATATGGCACGTGTGATGCTTTTACATGGAACACAAGGCTGCCAGTCCCAAACTACTTAGCTAGAGGAAGCACCAAAAGATTGCTGGCATCATACATAATATATTGTCTGTAAAGATTTGCTGATAAAAATAAAGTTACTGCAACACTGATATAATCCCAGAACGGTCAATGAAAATATTGACAATATACAGATAAAAAGATTCAGAGCATTTGAAGCTTATTTTTTTCTTTCTAAAAAAAATAATAATTAAGAACAAATAAGAAGTTTCTTCTAAAATCAGGTAAGTACTATGATCCTGCTATTTCAATTAAAAAACAATGGGGTTCCAACCACCCTATTTTACAAGCATCAGGTTTGATGAGCATGCTGGGGCTCGAAACTCACAGCAGTCAGTCACTCACCTTTCAGTGCCTCTAGGAGTTGTTCTCTCTCTTCCTGGGTCAGCTCGGCTTCCAGAGCCCCTTTGTCCAGCCAGACTCTTTTGGTTTCTGCCAAGGTGTACGTCCTGATTAGCAGCAACGCCACTAACACTGCCACCCCAACTACGAACACCCCCAGCAGGGTTCCTACGGGATTCCTCCAGTGAGCCGTCATGGTGACTCCGGCCCAGTCAGTATATTCCTCCCTGCAACACGCTAATCACTCCTACCACCAGCAGGATTGTGCACAAGCTCTATTCAGTCACAACACATAAATTAAATTCCTGACATTCTTCACCAAACTATTGGAACCATCTGGGATCCACCTGTGGAGAGTAAGATAAATTTAATTTGTTAGTTGCACCTGAAGAGGATTTGTGCATAGACTTCCAGGCAGGAGCGAACCAGCCTAGGAAGCATGGCTAAACTGCGAATAACAAGCAGCCCTGGAAACAAATTGCAAACCAGCTCTATATTGCATTGAGTGCAAAGAAAAAGGATAATAGTGGTTAGATATTAAAGTACAAGTCATGATATCACAGAAGCCCATGACCAAGTATTGAGCTGGAAATGCGTCAGATCAGTATCAGTATATAAAAGACATACAAAAAATAGTCACAATTTAAAAATGTAGATATGTTTAAATTGGATAAATAATTGGTAACTAAGTGCATAAAATGAACAGAAATTGCTCGGCATAACAGTTCTAAAAGAAAGTAAAAATGTGCAAATGTTTTCCATTCACCAAATGTGAATACATTATATTGTAAATAAAGTGCTTGAAATCTCATAACAAGTGCTTGAAATCTCATAACTAATGGATTTAATATTTCTAGATAGGATTTTCAAATGATTTCATATTTTTGTTTAAACTTTTCAAATGATTTATCTTCAAAACTTCACATAGACTTTAATGGTGACTATTTATTTGAAAAGTTTATCAACTTTTAGGGATGTCAAATATATTTGAAAACTTGTCCACAGAACTAAAAATGTCAAATCTGGTGAAGCTAGCCAGACTTTAAAAGTTACTTGCCACAGTATGGGTGTGAGAAAGTAAGCATGTTGGTTCAATGCTCTTCCAGGGCAGACCATGCATAGAGCTCTGCTGAAGAGCTCTAGCATGAAAAAAAGCTCAGTATTTGTTCTGCACAGTGCAAGCAAATTTAATAAAATGCTTGCACTGTGTGTCCTTGCAACTTGCCTCTGGTGTCTCTATAAATGGATACCAGGAGACAAAAGGGCCAGGAAAGAGTATTGTGCATGTGTTTGGAGCCTGCTTCTAGGATTGCGTGTGTGTACAGTGAGTTGATTGTGGTGTGGTATTGTGTAATAAGGTCGGTTTTAGTCATGTTGTATTTGTGGTGTAATGTAATGCATATGTGGGTAGGGGCTGTAGAGAACATGTGTATAGGGGATGTAGCAAGTGTGTGTTTGTAGGGGTAGTAGAGAGTGTGTGTTTAGGGATGTGTTTGCTTACAAGGAATCTAGTGTGTGTATAGGGGATCCAGAGTGTGTATGTTAGGAATGTAGTGTGTGTGTGTGTGTGTGTGTGTGTGTATATAGTAGTCTAGTGTGTGTTTGAAGGACCCAGTATGTGTATAGGAGATCTAGTGAGTGTGTGTATATAACGGATTCAGAGTGTATATAGGGATCTAGTGTGTATGTGTGTAGATGATTCAGAGTTGGGTAAAGGATCTAGTGTGTGTCTGGAATGTAATGTGTTTAGGGGTGCAGCATGTGTCTGAGGGGTGATATTGTGTGTGTGTATATATATATATATATATATGATTTAAATATGTTTGAAAGTTGGGGGGGTGCAGTGAGTGTGTGTGAGGGGTGCAGTAGGTGTGTGTGAAGGGTGCAGTGGGTGTGTGTGTGTGAGGAGTGCAGTGGGTATCTGAGGGGTGTAGTGTGTATGTGAGGGGTGCAGTATGTGTGTGATGGGTGCTGTATGTGAGGGGTGCTGTGTGTGAGGATGCTGTATGTGCTGTGTGTGAGGGTGCTGTATGTGCTGTGTGTGAGGGTGCTGTGTGTGATGTGTGTGAGGGTGATGTGTGTGCGAGTGCTGTGGTTGAGGGTGCTGTTGGTGAATGTTAGAAAGGATTGTGTGTTGGGGGGGGTGGGGGGGAGGGAAACAAGCAGGCATTATATCCCCTTCTCCCTTCTTACCTTTAGCCTGGGACCCTGGTGGTCCTAGTGGTGAGTGAACTCTAGCCTGTGGATCTTTGATCGCTCCACCGGCCTGTCATGGAAAACAGCGGGGCCGGCGCTTGGACCTCCCCTGCCGGCCTCGGCCCATGGCCAGCTCTGCCCCCCGGTCATTTGCCCGATGGCCAGTCCGGGCCTGCTCACTACATCCCTTAAAGCCACACACCACACACAATATAAGTACTGTACATATAAGTTGAGATTTACGGTAATTATGGTACTGGTTGTTTTGTTTTTTTTTCTTCAAATTACATACATACAGACACACACAGGCATGCATACAGACACACACTGGCATACACGCACTGGCATACATACACACACACATACACTGGTATACATGGGCATACACACACATGCACTGGCATACACACACTGGCATACACACACACATACACTGGCATTCATACACTGGCATACATACATACACATACACTGGCATCCACACACTGGCATACATACACACATACACTGGCATTCATACACACATACACTGGCATACACACACTGGCATACACTGGCATTCATACACCGGCATACACACTGGCACACACATACATTGGCATACGCAATGGCATACATACACATACACTGGCATTCATACACTGGCATTCAGACACTGGCATTCAGACACTGGCATACACACACACATACACTGGCATTCATACACCAGCATACACACACACATACACTGGCATTCATACACACATACACTGGCATACACACACTGGCACACACATACACTGTCATACACACACTGGCATTCATACACTGGCATTCAGACACACATACACTGGCATTCAGACACTGGCATACACACATACACTGGCATTCACACATACACTGGCATTCATACACCAGCATACACACACACATACACTACACACACTGGCATTCATACACTGGCATTCAGACACACATACACTGGCATTCAGACACTGGCATACACACACATACACTGGCATTCATACACCAGCATACACACGCATACACTGGCATACACACACTGGCATTCATACACCAGCATACACACACACATACACTGGCATACACACACTGGCATTCATACACACATACACTGGCATACACACACTGGCACACACATACACTGGCATACACACACCAGCATACACACACACATACACTGGCATTCATACACTGGCATACACACACACACATACACTTCATCCCCAGCCACCCTCCTCTCTTCCTTACCATTTAGTCGCAGGAGTGTGGCTGGGGATGATGGGCATCGGCTGCCTCTCCTCATGCTGCGTCCTCCTTCCCGCGCGGAGTAAAGTGGGAGGAAGTGACCGGACGTCACTTCCTCCCAGCAGCACTTGCTTCCGGCTGCATTTTTTTTTTTAAAGGGGCCCGGTCGCGCTATTACAGCGCTAAATGGGCCCCTGAAGATAATAGGGCCCATTGGGTGGCCCTAAATGATTAGGGCCACCTGATGGGCCCCATCAGCGTGTGGGCCCCGGTGCAGATGCACCGGCGGCAGTTCCGCTGATCCACGTGGGGCCCGGGCGGCCGGGCCCCCCAGGGCCGCCGGGCCCGTGACAATTGTCACGGTTGTCATGCCCTGATGGCGGCCCTGATCACCCCTCCTCACATTACCCCCCTCCTCCTTCCCACATTACCCCCCTCCTTCTCACATTACCCCCTCCTCCTTCTCACATTACCCCCTCCTCCTTCTCACATTACCCCCCTCCTCCTTCCCACATTACCCCCTCCTCCTTCTCCACACATTACCCCTCCTCCTTCCCACATTACCCGCCCCCTCTTCTCACATTACCCCCCTCCTCCTTCTCACATTACCCCTCCTCCTTCTCACATTACCCCCCTCCTCCTTCTCACATTACCTCCCTCCTCCCCTTCTCCACGGCCCCACCCCCTCCCCTCCTTCTCCGCGTTACCCCCCTCACTCTCACATTACCATCAACCCCCACACCATCACCTCCCTGTTACCATCACCCCCCACACCATCACCTTCCTGTCACCATCACCCGCCTCTCCTTCTCACCATCACCCCCCCCATACACACAACACACTTCAAGCAGCTACCCCATACATATAGGGTCTCAGACAAAAACGCAAACATGCTCACAGAGACATACATTCACACACAAGGATACTCTCTGTCAGACACACTCTCAGGCACATACACAGGTAAACTGTGCATCAATGTGTATATGTGACACTTTTTTTGTTAGTGGGGCCTCATGTTTGAGTTTCGCCTAAGGCCTCATAAAGTCTAGAGCCGCCTCTGGGTGTCACAATAGCTTGCATTTAAAAAAAACAAAACTTTTTGGACTGTAATATAATAGCAGTCAGTTTCCTTCACGAGTGTGCGTTTCAGGGCCTGCCCAGTGCCACCACTCACTCACTTGTGCATTTAAAAAAAAAAAAACATTTTGGACTGTAATATAATAGCAGTCAGTTTCCTTCACGCGTGTGCGTTTCAGGGTCTGCCAAGGCACAGTGTCACACTAGTGCAACTCATATCTGGTGTAACAGTAGTGTACATTTTGAAAAAAAATAAATAATTTTGACTGTAATAGATCGAATAGCAGTTAGTTGTCTGCAAGCGTGTGTGAGTCAGGCCTACAGCGTCTACTCTGCCAACTTCTGCCACTGCACAATGCCACTCATATCTGTTGTCACAGTAGCTTGCACGCATAGTACCACTAATCGAAAAAAAAATGACAGGCAGAGGCAGGCCACCCCGCAGGGGCCGTCGTGGTCGTGGTGCTGTGATTCCCTTTGGACCTAGAATAATGCCCAGTGTTCAGAGGCCAAGTACCCTGAACTCGAAAAGTTCTGAGGACATAGTTGACTGGCTAACACAGGACACCCAATCTTCTACAGCTTCCACTCGGAACCTTGACATACCATCCTCCTCCAGCTTAGCTTCGGGTGGGGAGGCTGAGGGTGGTGGTGAGGCTGGCGGGAAGGCTGAGG